TGGAGTAGAAGAACAAGAAGCCTTTACCCCCAGGAAAGGAAAATAAATAGAAAAGAAACTTCCCACCTTCTTTTATAAGTAGTCCTTTACAGGTCACTTTTGAAAAAGTTTGCATTTGTGGCATCAGTACTTGAACCTCCATTCTGTGCAATATGTGTGCATGTGTAGGCTAAAGCAAGGCTACTGAGTGCCTGACAAATGCAGAGACTAATTATGGCAGTGTGAAAGTAAAATAATGAGAGCTTGAGAATGTGACTGATAAGCATTTAGATAATGGACTAACAAGCAGGATGTCTGTAGTCCATCAAAGGGCTAATGAAGGTCTACATGTCCTCTGGTACTGCCTGAGGAGGATGTGCAGATGGAAAATATCTCAGAAATGGCTTTTAAGGGTATACACCATGTCCTAAATGCATGACGATGGTAATGATTGAATTCAGTGAGTGCTTAACCTATGGATAAAGTAATTACTCAATTAAAAAGTGCATGCTGGAAGCTGATAAGTAAGTGGGACATGCCTGAAAAAAAATTGTTTGCAAAGGAAGGTTGGTGCTTATGTCCCTTGAACAGTGGCTGCTGCAGCCTGGGCACCTGCGTGTGGAACTGGGCTGGCAACCTGCGGTGCTCCTTCGCTTCCATGTGCTAGAGAGGTGATGGGGGGAAGAAGGTTTGGGAGCRGTGCTGCTTGGCAGTGCATGAGCAGCTTCACTGCAGGCCCCGGAGATGGGGCCCRCAGCCAGAGGGACAGGCAGATCCCCCAAGCAACAGGCTACATCGAGAGCCTCAACTGCCTGGCAAGGCTCCCTTCTGAATTTAGGATGGTGCCTTGCTTCTATTGAACTCAGGACCACAACCTGCTGAGAACTAACATGGGTTAGGGAACTAACCCTATCACCTCCCGATCACCTCCCCACATTCGCCAGAGCAACACAGCAGGACTTTTGCTTGTAACAGCTCTGGGCACGTTGATGCCTCTATGATACTTTTAGCCTTTGTCAATCCTGTGACTTTTTTTGGTATAGATGCGCAGTCTGATCTTTTGGGCTGAGCCATTCGAGACAAAGAAATYGGGTCATTCAGCATTCTGGCAGGCTTAGAAAACAGCAGGAAAACAAAAGAACAAACAAGCAAATCCATGACCAAAAAAGATTAATAAAAAAAARAAAGACATTTTGGCCACTTGGTCATAAATAGTACTGTTCAATAGCACAAGAAATCTTGCAGACTGTGCAGGGAGACATAAAACCACTGAATTATGTATTAATATGTCATATAAAAGGAAAAAGTACTAAAGAAATACTGTAGGAAAAATAAATAAAACCACCATTAAAAGTGAACATGTCCCATTTGGTCAGTTATGCCAAACATAAAACAACAGAAAGTGCCATTTGGAAGTTAACAACACTTTTAATTTTACTACTGACTTTTCCATTATAAACCATCCAAAGGTGTGGTTAGCCCATAGGCTGAAGGATTGATTTTGTGTCTACATTCATCTAAATCAGTAGACTTTTAAAATATACATGTCTGTCTATCTGTATATGAGGGAGGCAGGAAGAAAGGGCTTAGAAAGCGGGAGATTTGTGATCTGGCTGATGTTAAATTGGAGCTGATCCTTCTCCAAGGGGCTCTTGGGTGCGAGGAGCGGGATCAGCGATGCACCGGCAGCAGTGCTGAGACCAGGGCTCCCCATCCGTCAGGTCTGCAGTGCTGGTGTGTGTGCACACATGGGAAAACCATGTCCAGGGTGAGGGAGGYGGCCCGTGCCGTGCAGAGACGGCACTGTTGAACTGTGTGAGCAGGGGTTGGTGCAGCCYGGCTTGGGTTGCAGGTTCAATTCCACCCCTTGCCTCAAATGTTCCCCACTTTAATGTGAAACGGCAGGTGCTGCTGGTCCTGGTGCTGTGGGACAAGCTCTGCGCAGCGCATGGGATGGGGAAAAAGGGTGGCCCACATTTGCACAGCTGGCTCTGCTTGGGCAGGATGCCGGGACCTCTAATTTACCTGCTGACCTGCCTCCCTCCAGAGGTTCTAGCTGCTTTCCCTTCCATGCAGCTGGAAGAGGCACTGCCACACCATGCATCCCTCAAGCCCAGGCTGTTCAAATCCCGAGGCTGCTCCTCTCCTGCACACAAACCTTGGGAGAAGGATTTTCTTACAAAGAGAAGGGAAGGGGAAGGGAAGGGAAGGGGAAGGGAAGGGAAAGGGAAGGGGAGAGAGAGAGAGATTTTGCTAGCAGGAAGTACAATGGCATGGAAACCACTGTGCTGCTGCTTCATTAAATGCACGAGCCTGCTAGAGCTGCATTGCAGATATTCTTTCATTGTACTTTGAAAAAACAGAATTCCCTTTGGTCAACTCCACCACAGTTTGTCGTCTTTTCATAGTCCAGCCACGGCAAAGGCACTAACATCTTTGTAGCAAGGTGAAAAGCAGCGACAGCTGTGGCTAAATCAGGTGTTGGGGCACCTGTGCTGGAGGTGCTGCTGCTTGTTCTTATTCCCCAGCTATGGTGTAGAAGAACCATCCTGTTTCCTCTGTTTAGAGGCCATAGATCAACACCAAATGGAGGCAGCGAGGCCTACCAAAGCTTATCTTCCTTCATGGGGATAAATGGGAAAACCTAGCACAGCTGTAAAATACATTGCAGTCTATGTGTCATCTCCCTATGTGGTGAAAATACAACTATCTTTACTTTGGCTTTTGACAGCAGCGTGTGAATTTGCAAGGCCTGATCTTCYAGGCTCCTTTCAGTGGAGCCTATCTCCAGCATTCAGACAGTGGTGTGTTTTTATGTGCTTTTGCTTTAATTTTAGAAGCTTGTAGCAGGGTTATTAAAAATGAAAATAGAAGGAAAGAAAGAGTAGAAAGCAAGTATGTAAATAATCACAATTAATCTGAAGGTCTAGCGGTCTGTCTTGCTTACAACTGTAATTTACCATATGCTCTACTACTTGYGTGAGACTCCCCAGCTCACGTGTTGTTAGTTTATGTAAGTGTGCAGACCTTTGGCAAATTTGTATTTTTATTATGTAGAAGCTAACATTTAGCTTTCTTGTTGTGAGTATGTTGTAGCATATGTTAGCGTTTATGTTGCACTGGAAATGAATCTCTTGACTAGAAAATATTCTGGCGATTTGTTGTTTTGACCTTTTTTATAATGATGGTTTGTCAATAGCGGAGGCAAAGCTGAGCGGGACAGGCCAGGTAAAGGCAAGTTGTTTGTGTGTGACACCCATGGTAGATTATTCCTTCTTGGTCCTCGAGGGGAAAATTATATCCAGGTACGATGCAGAAGGTCAAACTGTATTGTAAGGAAATGATTTCTCAAAAGTGGCTATAAAATGGGAAGGATTTTTTTTCTAGGTAGAGAACCACACCTTTTCTTTTTCTTTTTTTTCTTTTTTTGGTAATCTTCTATGTGTATTTTTAACTTTGAAATGTCTTTCAAAACAATTTTATTTTTAACTTTGTCATGGCAGTGTCTCTGTCATTTTCAGTGGGAAATATCTTTACATCATTGGTGTCTGTTTTCTCCAGGGCYTGCAGAGAGAAGCTCACAATATGCTATTACAGGACCAAGGCCAATAGATAACATGCTACGATTTCTCACCATTAATGAGAAACATATTAGTTCTAGCAGGATTTCAAAAGGTTTTCACAAAATTTGGGATCTAGTTTTGTTCCACAATGCTATGTAGTCAATATCAGAACTTCTTTRTGTTCCAACATAAATGGATTTGGATTAAGCTATGAGCTATCCCTAATAATTGGCATTATAGCAAAACGAAGAAGGAGATCTTCATGCTGGATATCTCCTGGACCCAAAGGTTATTGCATGTGGTTCCTGGACTGGGGAGATCAGCAGTGCAAGCACGAGCAGGTAGTGTCCAACCACCAGTTATGCTGTTGTGTGACTGCCATGGGAAGGATGGAGATGGTTTGGGCTGCCACACGTGGCACAGCACAGTTTCAGAACCCTAAAGTGCCAAAACAGACTGAACCTGCTAATATTAAGAGGTTGAGCTGCCACCATGAGCTATCTAAGAAGACAAGGCCTGTAAGAAGGGCTCACAGATTTAGGCTCACAGCTTTAAGGTCACAGCACACTTTGCTAGCTGCTGCTCCCTATATCTGCTTGGCTAAGTTCTGCCCTCATTTGCTCCCACCCATCATCCTTTTTCTTTTTTTCTTTTTTCTTTTTTYGGATAGCTCACTGAGGCTACTCCTTGCCTCGAAAAACCCTCTGTATGTAAGAGTGGGAGTGGTACATCTTTCTCTTTGGTTCCCATTAATTTTATTTTACAATCATTCCCATGTGCTCTGGGCCTGACCCTTGGCTTATTTTCGGAAATATTTGTGTTCTGTATTCACAGAAAGTCTAATTCGATTATCTACATTCCTGGGAGTTTGTATGATGTGTACAGGTCAGATTCAGTAATTATTTGTCTGTAAATTAATAGCTGTGGATTTTTATGGCCTCATGTGATATCTCAGGCAATGGTTCTTAATTCATGGTGAATAAAGGGCCTTTTTGCCAGCGTGGATGTTAGACCGTGCACCTGTAGAGCCATGAACATCACAGCTCCTGAGTTGAAATACAGACTGGGAAAAACCATGGAAATCATTTTAAGTTCAGAAATAAAGTCTCTTAGTATGACAGCCTGTATAGAAGCTTTTACTTTTTTTYCCCCATATAGATTTGCTTTCACCATGATACATACACATTTAAAATAGCTCTCTAGATTGAAAATAAAGGGAGATGTTGGGAAGTGAAATCACAATTACTGTTATGAGAATTATAAAATAAAAAAGTGTTAAAAAATACTTTTAACCTTGATATGACAATATTTACAAGAATGTATGTTTCCTGAGACTTTGCAAGCAATGTGTTCCAGGACCGCTGGTCATAATAAGAAGAGATGCTGATACTTAATGATTTATAGCACAGTGATGTTTCCATATAATCTTGATCTCGTTGTCTACTGCATACAGAACATGACCTGGACAAAAAGGAACCAAAACCTCCTTCAGTTATAAGGRAACTTGAATTGAGAAGTGTTTTAGAAATCAACAGGATATAAAAATGAGTCTCTCAACCAACAAGTGAAGATGTTTGGACATGAGGAGGGTATTTTCTACGAGCTTTAGGCTGTCACAAAGCTGGGTAAGCTGGTTTCTATAAAGCTCCCACTCCTGAGAAGCCTGTGAGAAAAGACACAGCCATAAACTGCTAACTGCCTGTTTCCATTTCTAGCAGTATTGTGTTTTTGTTTCTTTCTAGGCATTCACATTGTAGTATCATGTCACGTGACACTAGCAAGCAGAAATCTTGCTTCCAAGTGATTTGCCAAAAATGGGAATTCCTGAAACTAGAAAGCTTGAGGCTTGTTGACATGAAGTGCATTCAACACGAGTTGGAGTCACGTATCTTCCAGCTTTCTTGACCTGGGCAGAGGCCAGGGACTGCCTCTAGGCCTGAACTTATAGGAACATTTTTTGAGGCACAGTCTTTCTAGACTTATTTTCTGAGCTGAGATATATGGAGTTGCTCTTCTCCAACTTCTGCAGTCTAGTATTCTCCAGAAGAAGCTCTTTTATCTTGACTGCCAGAAGTGGGGTGACCTATGATAGAAGAGAATGACTTGTTATGTCCCTCTTCTGACMAAGGTTTTTTCCCTCACTCTGCTCCAATCTTTTCCATCCTTGGATAAAACTTTCTTTATAATTTTATAAAAATTGTAAAAAAGATTGTATATATATAAAATATATAAAAATGAAAAAAATGAGCCCATATTCCTTGATTCATGGCACAGAGACAGTTATTCCACATCTGCACCAGCATAGCTATGTTTTTCAGAAGAGCATGTCTATAAGCACATTTTGAAGAGATTTAGTAATTCTTGATAACCGCATTAACAAGCCAAACTGATAAACCTGTCTCTACTTCTATAGAAATAAACCACACTCGTAAGACAGACTTATGAGTTATTGCTTAACTTTGTTAAAGCTCTTCCATGTTTCTTTTTTTTTTTTCTGGCAAAATTCAACTTTCAATGGAGCACAATATGTATGAATTGGAACAGACTTTTCCTCCTTACTTTCTCAGCAAAACCAGTGCCCTGGCCTGATGTAGCTGGAACAGCTCTCTTTAACATCTTTAAGCCAGAGTGATCTGAAGATGACAAAGTGTTCGTGGCATCTCTTGTTTCTAGCTATTTTTCTCAATAACCAGGCTCTGGGGAAAAGTCTTCAGATCCTAAAACAAGCAGAGGAAAATCTCTCCCTTTGATCTGCGCTGTGGAAACTCCTCGCTGCTTGCTCCTTGCTTTTACTTGGAAGGGCCACACACTGGCCGWTGCTGGCTGTTTTGCCTGCAGCACYAGCACTCYGAATGGGCAAGGACCCATCTGCTGTACAAGCTGGGAGGAGGAATTTTTGTCTCCGTGATGGCACTTCAGTGGCTTGAGAAAAGAAAATGTGTATTTCCAGAATAGCCTGGAAAGATGCCTGGTCTGAAAAAAAAAAAAAAAAAAAAAAAAAGAAAATAAATAAATTAAATCTTTCTGATTCTTGTTTCTTCCCTTACAGGTAGAAAAAATGAGGGGTACATGTAGCTGATGCTTGATATTTTGCCCAGCAATGTCAGACATTAGCTGTTGTTTGATCTCAAGGAATGAGTAGAACTGCTGTAATCTGTCACACTTTAGGTAAAACCTCTTACTTTTGATTTTTTTTCTGATCCATCTAGACTTTTTCCCTAAACTTGTTACCATAAAGTCTTGATATTTATTTGGTTACGTGCCAGTTAAATACAGAATATATAACCATTTGGAAAGTTTTATGATGAAACACTTGCTTAACTTCTCAGTGAATATGTGCCATAAAAACAAATGAATCACTATAATATTTTACATCATGGTTGCACCTGGTATTTGCAATGCTGCGTTTGATAGGTACCTGTTTTTTTCCAGTTTGAATAAGATCTATATAAATAATTCTTTTTACAGACTTTTTTTTTTTTTTTTTTTTTTTTTTTTTTTTTTTTTTTTTTTTTTTTTTTGTAGTGCCTAGGGAAACTTCTTCAACTTTTCTGAAATTTCCCATAAATAGTTATTATTAATTCTTGCTCTTTAGACTGGTTGTTAGGAATTTGTATAACATGCTGGGTAGGTGAACTGAGAAATTTAATTCATTTTGATTCATGCTGATCAGATACACAGGTAACTTTCTATGACTAGATGTCTGATTTCAAAAAATATTGTTCATTAACATTCACTTTATATTTTTTATTTGATTAATGTTAATTTAAAACTAATAATAAGGAATATTTGCCTAAAACTCACTCTCTAGGTATCTCTAAAACTGAACATAGCCTGCCAGAAGTGTAATGAAGAGTAAGCATATACATTTTTGAAATTTTGGAGTTATTTGCATACCAGTGGGTTTTAAAGAGAAGAAATCCAAGTCCAAGTATCGTTTTCTTTTTGTTGTTTGAGGCCATATGCCTGTTATGACAGAGTAAAGCAAGACTGCCTTTCAGCCCGTTTTTTTTTTCACCGGGTAGCCGTTCCTTATCCAGGATAGCCAGTAGCAGGACGGGTGCTTCCAGAAAGTGCACAAGGAAAGGTTTCTAGATCTGATCACACTGGTAGCAGCCTGCCTGCTCTGTAAGTCTGAAGGGCTCGTGATGTGCCAGGCAGCTCCCTGCACCGCTGCTCCTTGCTGCCTAGGGAGCTCCTTTCATGTTACTTCTCTCCTTATTCATCTAAYGAGAGGCACGGCCAAAGCACATCGTTAAAATCTGTGATGCACTTGCAATGCTTCCATAAAGGAAAAGATGCCAGTGCGTAACAATATCTTACCACAAATAATCACCTACACCTGTGTCACCTTGACATGTATCGCAAGCCTCAGCACGCTGCTCACACTAGCGCTTCTAATATTTCCTGGTGGCAGGGAATATAGTGAGAGTGTAGCCTTTAGGAATGGGTTGAGGATGGAAGACTCTATGGACCAAACGGAGCTGTGATGTAGATGAAACTCCTTTGGAAGGAGCACTCTGTATCTTTAGTGATTTTGCTCCAGCAGTGAGCAGTGAGCTTGTTCCTCCATCCTTAGTTCATGAGATCACCTTCTTCTTATTCTCTCTTTCCTCCTCCTTTACGTCTTAATTTGATGCTGTCATGATTTAAGCCRGTAGTGTAATCTTCAAGGCACGAAAATCTATATACCCATCATTATCCCCCTCTGAACCCTGGGATGTGAGATTTCAAGATACTTTTTTTGCCTATACATTTATCATACAGTTTTCCTAAAGGAAACGTGCTCTTCCATTGATTGAAGCTGGCCGTACTTCAAAGCATGGCCCACCATCCCACTCTCTTATTTCATGTGGTTCACGAAGGCACCTGGGTGGAAGCAGGGGCAGGAATCCGAGCCCTTTGCGGTTTTCTTTCTCTTCCTTTGGACTATATTACAGAGCTAACCCTTTTATGATCCTCGTAGAAACTAAAGTACATACATTTAACATGTTAGCCACCAGTGGGAACTTGAGGTTCAGAATAAACAGGAAGTATTCTATAGGAAAAAGTAAGAACTTGTGGTAGCTTGTTACTGTATCTGACTGATCTTTGTCAGCCTTGTGGCAACCCCATAGGRACATCTGATTGCAGTTAGTTTATCTATTGATTCAGTCTTTGGGTCATTAATCAGAATTCAGTGGTATGTTACAGGTGTGAAAATGCATACATAAAAACTAGGGATGCTTCGGATTGCTAGAGGAAGGATGAGCTGAATATGGTCCTAAGAACTAAGCCCATTTTTGCCCCTTTCTGAACTTTGAAACAGGAGTGAAAGTTTTTGAAAATATCTTTTGGTTCCTTTCTCTTATCTTTGCTTCTTTGCACAGGGGAGTTCTAGGACAGGCTAAGCATAAAAACAAAAAACAAAAAACAAAAAACAAAAAACAAAAAACAAAAAACAGAAAACAAAAAAACAAAAAAAAAAAAGAGGGAGAGAGAGAAAGGGAGAGAAATTATTTTTTAAAATTTTCCAGTCCAATCTGAAATCTTTCTTTCCTGGTCACCTCCCTCTTCCGGCAAAGTCCTGCCTCCCAGAGCTTGTAAGGCACTGGAGCCTGAAATTAGCTATGTGATCTTATTACTTCAAGCCAGTGTGCTTTTTCCAACACATTCATATATTGGTAGTTACTCTTGTTCTTTATAATTTAACTTTGGACGTAACATAATCTTGCTGATGCTTGTGTCTATTTTTTTTTTTCTATAAACATGAACCACAATGTCTAGAGGATGGAATAAAAGTTACTATAGTGTAAGGACCAGACACAAATATGTTRTACAAGCTCTTAATACCTTCTAATGTCTGTTAAAAATGGTTAAAAAAAAAAACACCCAAATGACAGGAAAATGTAARTCTGACAAAATTAGGATCTTGTTAGAAATAAATTTTCACAGAAATATTTTTTCTGTGTGGAACCCCTAACAAAAATGAACATTTATACCTCATTTCCTCCCTTATCAGTGTGCTTTAGCAATATTTTTTTCTTTAGTAGAAAGTAATTTTGCATTGTGGAAAATAAACTGTAGTCAGTATTTTAGAGAGTTTTTTGGAAAAGTTTCTAATGAAAAAATAATTCAAGAAAATGTTTCTTCCCACTTCCAATTCCTTTTGACTAATTTATGTTTGATTTGAAAATATCCCAGTAAAAGAAATTATGATTACATAGACAGTATGATAGAGAATTTCAGAAGTAAAATGTCAGAGAACTGATTAATAGTATAAAAGATATTGCTGAATTCTAAATAGTTCCCAGATGTGCTATAATTCTATTTATATTATACCTAAGATATGTACCAATTTTACTAGCAGCAGCAAGACTCAAAATTAAGTATATAGTAACGTATTGCAAGTTGGAATTTGTTACTAGAAAAGGAATAATTAGATGAGTAAAAAAATGGACTGTGCATGAGCTTTTTACCAGTCAAGGTGTTTAAATTGCACATATTGTTCTTTATCTCATCATAACAAACTGTTCACAGAATGTATATTCTGTAGTCTGCCACTGAAATATGGATTCAATATCACATCATCATTAACATGCTCAACATCCATAATTAAATAGTTTTGGCACACTTTCCAGTTTGTGCCTGTGAGCAGAACAGGATGTGATTTGAGGATTTAATATGTCCTCCTATGTGTTTAAAAGAAGATGTGAAGAAGGTGGAGAACTTAGGTGAAGAGTTTGGTGTTTTGTTGAACTCCTCTCATTGTTTGAATTAACATACCTTGGAATGTAATTGAAACTGAAATTTTGGTGCATGATTATATGGCATTGGTAATAATTTTATATTTGAGCTTAATTTAGCTGTAGGTCTCATTGTCTGAAAGATTTAAGAGTAACATTTTAAATTAGAGTCCCAACTATGCATTTAATTTAGATTTAATAAGACAGTTATTTGTTCTAGTAATAAAAAGCCCCATTGCATATTAAAAAACATATTAATTGCGGATTGACACAGATGTAGTAGGTTTAAAAATCTTTAATGAAAGCATTTTAAAGCATCAGTTGGCATTTATTATTACTGTAAATATATTAAGAGCTTTAATATAAGCACCTATTTCTAAATCTAGCAGATTTTGTCCAATTGGGAACAGAATACTCTTGATGCTATAATTTTTCTTTAGGAGAGCTCATCTCAACTCGGATTTGTTGTACATTGTTCAAATTGTGGTGTTTCTTACTCCCATTTATTCCTATAGATGCCGTCACTGGAGACACGCAGTCGCTGTCCTGGTCTGTTAAAGGAACTTKGTAACTGTGCATTGACTGTGAAGATCACACACATTGTATGACACTTCCTTGCAGAATGAATTATTTCAGAACAGGTATTTCAATCATTTCTGCAGACTGTGGTAGATTCACTACCACTCCGGTTATATCTGCATGCACGTAGCGGTTGAATCACTTGACTGGTCTGGCAGTATACAAAAATTTACCACAATTTTCTAGTGTTGTACAGATCAGCCTGGGCTACTCTACTGCCTCATTTCATCAGGATCCTCTAGACTTTTTGTGGATAAGATAATTAATCTTAGGGATAACTCTYAGTGACATAGCCTGTAATTTTCCCTGTAGTATCTCCAGGAGAAGATCTCTGGCTATGCTAACTCACAAACAAAGCTGAGCATTGGGTGAAATCTTTCACAGAATGCAAAACTGATGTCCTATGACTCCATTCTCTGCTTTTTGGCAAGGCAGGTTTATGATCAACTTGGCACGAGATTGTCTGACAAACCTGGCTTCTAAAGTCTTCTCACTGAGGGATATCTTATTTTGATGTCTGCTGGAAAGAGCGAAGGAAGGAAGGAAAGGAAAGACCAAAGGAAGGAAGGAAAGGAAAGACCAAATCTTCTCCAGAGTTGTGTCTGCCTCTAAATGAGATTAGTGGGTTTATGCTTACAAGCAGTCAAGCTAGGTTTTCTAGGGCTTTGAGATAGTGAGGAAATTAATATAACAGGATTTCCAAATATTGAAGGCAAGTGCACTTTTGTAGCTTAAAAAAAATTCTGTGGCATATTTTCATATCAAAAGAACCATAATTTGTCTGTGTAGCAGGGAAACTTACAGACGATCATAGTCTTTGCCCATCTCCCCATCTACATGGCCCCATAAAAATTGACTCCAGAAATCTTTAAACAAGTTCTGTAATTGTGTTTCTTTACATTTGTCATTCCTTTCTCTTATTTTAGAACTCATACTTTAAAAGAGGAAAGATTTAAAGGAAGCTTGGTGACAAGAGAGGTGAGGTGAAATAGGATGCCTTTATATAGAGGGTGGAGAAAAACAGTGTTTACACAGCAGGATATTCATCAGATATTCAGTTTCAGAATACTCATACGTCTTTCCTCTGAAGGATCAAGTTTTATTAGAAGGATTGGAAGGGATGAAGACAATGTGTTTTTTTGTATGTGAATATGTGCAATTTTGTTCATTGCTCTTTTTTGGAGGAATTGGCAGTGGGCATGAAGGCTGATGTGCTTTGCCAGCACAGCAATCTTTTACTCTGCTGCTTACAGCTTTCAGGAAGGTAAGAAAAGAGTAGACCAAGAGGCTGTGTTGCTCTGCGACTACAGCCAAGCTTGCCTCTGCTTTCTGTCTTGCAGAGAGTTGAGTATCCTCCTGCCCCTGCTGTTCAGTTAATATCTCAGCTACAGCCTCGCCTATTCTATTTTTCATCCTGCCAATAAATTGTGAGCCAATTTCAGGAAGGCATCAAGTTTGATCTGAAGATGGTAGCATTCCCCAGTGCATTACAAGGCGCGGGGCAAGCAGTAGGCATGATCTTGCCTTGAGGGTTGCAATGCAGCCTTGTAGTAGAACCTAGTAGGGATGTATTATTATAAATCCTTATCATGTTTATTTCACTTTTCATTCACATTCCTTCCAATCTTTTGATTTTTAGCCTCAGGGCAGAGTCAGCTATATATCCAAAGATGCAACTTTACATTGAATTAATGTGTATCTCTTTGCCAGTTAAGAAGTTAACAAAAAAGGAGTAGGTGTCACTATTTTGCTTATGGTGGGAATTTGACAACGCACTGAACCAAGCACAACACACTTCTAGAATCTTAACTAGTTTGATTGCACCATCGACACTGTTATTTCGACAGCCCTGCTCTCCGGCATCTGGCATAATTGGAAGCAGCAGCCAGCAGGTATCAGATGTCAGTATGAATTGTCTCCTGCTGCGTGAGCACTGACTATGAAATTGATTTGCTGTCTTTTTTTTACGCAGTTTTGTAATGAAACTAACGTAAAGTCCCAAACATACAAATTCCATACTTGTGTACAAGCAGTTAAAAATAAGATATATATATGTATATAGCATTAGCAAGGGGAAAATATATCAACTGGAAAGCAGTATGGCACCAGCAGGCCCTATTTCCTCACAGGCAGTTTTGGTGGCAATTCTTGTGTTTCTGAAGAAAAAGAGCTACACCAATACCTGGAAAACATCTTTTGGGGGTACTTGTAAGGATCAAAAGCATAAAATATGAGAATAAAGAACTGTTCAGCGAGAGACTTTATATCTCTCTTATTTTAATAGCTGGGGATAATAATGAGAGAGTCTGTGGAAAACAAGCCTCCAACTTGGGATAAATTTTTACCTTGTTTGTCATCAGGATGATCAATTCCTAACACTAAAAAACAGTCCTGAGTGAGGTCAATTTTCATTGACTTAATATAGCCAAGAAGCTGCCTGAGAAAACCTCTGAAAAAAAATGACTTACAGTGCCTTCAAGATGCTGTCATATAGAATAGTTTCATGTAGGCCAATGAAGATARCATCTGTGGACCTAGGATATTGCCTGTTGATGTGAGGAACTGTAAGAAAAGACTGGATTGGTGTAAACATGACACTATGATCCCAAATTTTAAGAAAAGCCTTTGAGAGTTCTTTAAGGACTGTTGACTTCTAGGTAATGATAGTAAACACCATGGAGGCAAGTTGTCATTGGCACAGAACTGACATCTATTCTTAAGCAAGTTTAAAACTGGGTATGAAAAAAAGCCCAGTGTTTATGGCCCTCTTCCTCCAGCTTGAGGCTATACTTGGCTTTGATACAAGAAGTCTTAATCAGTTCATTCTGAAATGGAATTATTTAAGCATTTTTCTAGGAACTAGTTGCAAGAAGTTGCCTTCCTAAGAAGTAAGTGTCAAAAAAAAAAAAAAAAAAAAAAAAAAAAAACCTTTAAAAAAGTCAACCTGAGATTTAATTCCTAAACTTAACCTCCTTTTGCCAAGTGCAATGGGGAAAAACACTCAAAACATCTGGTTGAGTGGGACTGAAATCCAGTGTTTTGTTTTCACTCTGACACTCAGTTGCATAGCAATGAGGGGGAGCATATGATACAATAATCTATATATAGAATAGGTGGGGCCAATCGGACCTTTGACTGGAGGCCAATTTGTCTGGTATTCTAATCTTGGTGTTGACACAAATCCAAACTTTGGTAAGTCACTTAAAGCTTTTGCAAGAATTTCAGAACTTCTGTTGATTAAGAACTGATTTGCAACTGTTTTGGGATTCATAGTTGTCAAAACATGATCCGACAGGCCATGCCATATAAAGCCAGAGCATGGGTGCCCAGCACAACCGGGAATCTGCTCCTGCAGGATAAGCAGAAGATCACTTATAGGGAGCTGGCCACTCTTCCTAGAGGGCAGTTTCCCACAGCAGCACTGTCTCTCCTGCAGCAGCAATGAACTTGATTTCTGTCTGATCACAGAGAGAGATGGAGGTCAGTCATTCAAGCAGCTTGTCCCCATGAAAGGGAACAGCAGGCAATAGTGCTTTGGCTTGGTGCTTGGTGTGATGGATGGACTATTGGCCTTCCTGGGTCACCTGCTATCCTATGTAATAATCTGTTTTTCCTATATCCGCAGTTCAACATGATTTTCAACCTAAGTTCTATAACAAGAATACAACCAGATGCTTACCCAGTCCAAAAGACTTTGGACCTTTTCCATGGAAGCTTTTTTCAATAGCTTYTAGTCTTATGAAAGCATAACCTCGAGGATAAGTTGTAATTCCACCTGGAAGAGGATGCTGGTGGTTATACTGGCATTCTCTGCAGCTCACTGACAAGAGACATGCGATAGAAGGAAATTCTCCCACCTCCATGCTGAAGCACTGGAATAGAGTAGGCTTGCTCAAATGCAGGACTCTGATGGTTTAGCCAGTGCCATTTGCCATTTTGTTCTTCGCCTCTTTTCTTGGGAAGCTTTCTTACGCTGYGCAGGCGGCCAGCAGTGTATGGTGGAGGAGACCTCACAGCACTTTTATTCCTGCAACTGCAGAAATTATTTGTTGCGCTAAGGAAGTTGCAACCTACCCCTCTGGCTGTCGTTGAAATCAGGATAGGAATAGGCACATGACCTAACACCATTTCCTGTCCCATGTTAAGGATGAAAAGTCTTCATTGTTTATTTAAAGGAAACTTTTATTGGAGTGATGGAATATTTCATATTGATGCATCTAATAGTAGAAGAAGCAGGATTCCTATATGAATGAAAGACAAACTTGAATAAATTAAACAGTCTTCTGTTATCAGATTATTTTATAATGCATTTAACAGATTCTTCCAAGCTATGTCCTTCCAGCCTATTTCCTTCCCTTGATTGTTGTTCTGTGAAGGCAAGTGAATAGTAATATCAGGATTGCAGTAATAATAGTTTTGCAGCTTCTCTAAGACTGTTCCCAAATTTCCCCATAACATATTGCTACCATTTTACAGTTCTTACTTCCTTATTCCATTAGACCCCTCAAGGAGATTCAATAACTCCCTCAATGGTGTTTTTCGATTAAAGTTGATTCCAGTTAAATATCGAAATCCAGTATGGTAGGTAGGTGTAAGACACTCCCAGAGGTGGCCCAGGAGGATCCTAGTGAATCTTTCTTCCAGTCTATCAGGTGACTATTCAGTAGTTTTTGCTCTTTTCTCCTGATTTATTTCTCTAAAAAAGAATAGACCAGTTTAGCTTGTTCAGCCTTCTATTCTTAGATCTTTTTAAAGAGAAATTTCAGTGGGATTAAGTGAGCAGCATGGTTAAATTGCTGTCTGATTCTTCCTGAAAACTTACCCTTCAGCTATTGTTGTAGTAGCTGTAAAACTTTTGCAACTGCATGAATTTTTGAATGTTTTACTGTTCCCTTTAGAGCAAAATTTGCAGCATGCACATTTGATGTCAAGTTCCTCTTGTGATCATTTGTTTTTTTGTGACATGAATATGACACAGAAGGACATGAGAACCAGGCTGTCGACTCAGTCTCTCAGTGCCCTTTTGTTTATGCCTGTGACCTGGTCACATAGTACAAAGAGTTTCCTGCTGAACTACATGCAGCTGCCTGGCTGAAAAGCATGTGAGAGAGCTTTATTTGTCCCTCTTGCAGCCTGAGATCTTCTTGGAAGCGGCTCCCAGATCCCTGCCGGCATTGTGGTCTATGATATCACCACACAGCCTTCCCAAGGATCCTGGCCTGTCTGGAATCCGCGGTCAGGGATCGGCAGTGCATTACCGCATGTATTTCAGTATACCGCTCCAAATAAGCTATCCCAATAAGGCTTAGGGCTTTCTGGAACTTYGCAGCAGCACCACTAATTTTTTGTAAAGAAAACAAATGCAAAGGAAGTATTGTGAACATAAACTGAGGCTTGACTAGTTTGTGTCTTTGTTTTATTAATGCATTTCTTGTTCTTCTTTGAAGTCTTTCTGTGAATGGTTTATGCTGTTATGAAACTAACTCAAGTCTATTTTCTTTTTCCTTTCTTTCTTTTTTTTTTTTTTTCCTGGTATTAAGTATCTAAAGATATACTGTGATCCACATGCTTCCCAAGATGGCTGTATCACATTGCATCCCACTCACAGCATAGTAGACATAAAAAGTGTGGTCAGAAGGGAGAGGAAATGCAAATGGTCATGCAAAGATCAGCAATTTTGGGGCTTTGGAAGGATTTTGCAAACAAGAAAAATGCAGCATTGCTGTGCAGCTGCCCAGTGTCTCTCTCAGGTGCCAAAATGGGAAAATTSGTGCAGTTGTGTCATACTTGGTCTGTGAAGAGTCACATTTCCTTTGATTAGATCTCTACTATAAGATGTCTGAAAGGCCCTCACCATGTTAGGTGAGCAAGATCACAGTCCCTAGTATAAACAGCCTGTGAACTCCCAGAACATGAGACTAGGTAGAAAACCAGAGAGACGACAACCTAGAAATTAGAACATGCTGGACACTGATTTCCTGATACTTTTTTACAAGATGCTTGCTTATATGGCTCATTTTGCACTCATATTTTTAATGGATCAGCTAAACAGGAACAATACAGAGCTCTTAGAGTTATAATAGCAGTTGGAATAAAATTTCTCTTTTAACTTAAAGTAGCTTTTGGGCTAAACTAGTCATCCTGTACACTAACAGATGGGATGCAGGCAAGCTTAGGTTGGATGCTTGTAAAAAAAATGAGTTATAAGGTGGTTTTCCCTGCCAAGGTCTAGCTTTTCAGAAGTCTTTTTGGCATAAGACCTTTTAGTCTTAAGCGATATAAATCTCTCCTCTGATTTGCTTGCAGATAAAGTAAGGTTATACTAACCACCCCAAATTTTGTGTATTATTATTTGTCTAATAGCTAACTCAAACATGCACGATAGCTTATAAATAAATAAAACTTAATAATCAAATAATCTACAATTTATCAATATACAGATATAATATTCCTGTATGTCTAATTTTCTCACAAATCTATTTTTTCTTCACTAGGGAGTTTAGGATTTGCACCTCATATTTGCCCAAGAGGATGTACCACTTCCTTTACTGTCTGCTGAGGTGAGGAACATCGCTCTCTTGTCTTCAGTTTTCTAACATCCTTATTTCTGTGCTAGCTAGAAGTCACATGAGAAAGCAATATTAGGAAACCATTTGGTGTATTTTTAGCTGCTTTCAGGCTGAAGTAGCAATGAGGAGGGAGGAGTGCCAGCCACATGTGACCTACCAGCTGTCAGTGGCCCACATTTTGGAAATCATTGATTCAAGTGACTGGCAATAGGTAATGGAAAGTTTTGCTTTTAGCTCGCTGTGTTGAATTCGCCCAAATTAAACATGATAGGAAGGCTGTCTTCGTTATAAACAGCTTACAGCATGTTAATGGTCTTCATTTAGTTTCTTTGCCTTTGCTTGTTAATGACAGAGAGATATTTTAATTGGAAGTGAGTTCCTTTTGTGCTGCTCTAGCTACAGGAACAGCTGATACAGTGCTGTTAGGGTAGAAATGCTGGGTGGCTGATCTCTGCTTCTTCCTMACTCTCGGGTGCTTGGTTGTACCGTGGTAGGTCCTGTAGAGTTAATTCTTGCACAGCATGGAGTGAGGAAAGCAACAAGAACTTCTAGCTCCCTAAATCTCACTGTGACAGCCATGTAACAAAAAGTCAAATTAACTGGGAGCAAAGGCAAGTGAATCTTTCTTTTTCTGCAGGCCGCTGTCATGCACGACTGTTGGCAATGACTTCCAGCTCACCTCCTTCCCCATCTTCTTAATCTGTGAGTATTTTAGAGTCAATAACTCCTTGTCATACGGCACYGATTGCTATATATGCATCAAAGGCAGCAGATTGCTAGAAGTTTGCATGCTTCTGGGGTTATTTAACTGTACATGTGAGTGGATCTCACATTCCTTGCACGTCACCCAGCTGCCCCAGTTTCAGCCATACTCTCCAAATCATGACTTCAGCCTACTTTATCACAACCCCAGCTACCCCAGGTCAGATCCCCGGAGGTAGACTGTCTCTGATCATAGCAGGTACCTGCAGGAGGATCTTTCCAGGAGCCAAGCTCTGCTTGGAGGAACCAAGGAAGCAGCCAGAGCAGCCTCGGTGGGCACCCTGCAGGGGCCAACCAGTCCCGAGGTTAGATTTGCATCTCCTCAGTTCTGTATTTACCTTATTCTGTATTGCCTTCTCCAGAAGGTACCAGATACCAAGTGGTTGCTGTGATAAATGTTGAGGATTTRAATTCTTTTGTGGTTTGACTGGAGCTCTAGGTTACAAAGAAATGCCTCAGCAATAATGATTTCATCCATAGGAGAGTTTTTACTGTATTTTTTGGGGAGATTCATTTTGTAAATTTCTCAAGTGAAGGCAAATATTTAGTATTTAGATGGCAAATTCATGTTGCATCATTGATTTCAAGAAAATSTGACTCTGTGTATGGGTTTTGGACTGTTCACCTTTAAGCAGAAGGAGTTTTTTTGAAGAAGTGTGAAATAGCCAGCTCATCTCTGTGAGATGTGTTCTGCTCAATGAAAACACCTTTCCAGAGATGGGGATATGAACTCCYTCATTCATCTCATGCATCGTCATCTCCTTTCCTGAGCCCACACCAGCTTCTGCAGCACTCTTTGGATGAAGTACTTTTCAATCTTTAGCACCTCAAATTTTGTTCAAGCTCCCAGAAAACTGCCTAGCTCACGTTGGAGGGGTAGTCACAGCCTTCACTAGGTAGGATTCTGAGCAAGGTCCTGTTCAGGATGGGGAAGGGTCAGCAAAGGTGAAGCATTGCTGTGCCTTCCCCCACCTGGGTCCCCGGAGTGACAAAGTTAATGGCAGTGCCACTCTGCTTCCTGTCCCTGACCCCAGCCCTCCCCTGCCTCCAGCACAACTCTCCTCTCTCTCCATGCATGTGCACTATTTATTTAGCTTCAGTGCCATCTGAATTTTCTGCTTTGCTGGTTTGATTTCTCTCAGACTTCAACCTCCTTTGACAGAGGCAGAGAGGCAGACCATCTTTCTTTTTTCTTTTCTTTTTTTTTTTTTTCCCTCTCTTTTTTCCCGTTTTTTTTTTGCCAACGGTCAGGTTTGAACTGACATTGGCTGGTTGTAGGTCAGGTTCAAAGGCATCAAGTATTGTCTGAACATCCCCTGGAGCAAGCAGCTCAAGTGAAAACGAGTAGTCTAGAAAACCTCTGTGACTGAACAGAATAATTCACTGCAGGTGAGCTCTTGACGTTGGCAGACCTCTCACCATAATACAAGATTTTCCACATTTTAACTTGAAACTCTGCATTCTATGATAGAGGTATATTCACTTTTTTAGTATGTCTTTAATATATCATGCAAGTGTTCAGGCTGAAACATGGAAAATTACCCCACCTTACCCTTTTCTTCACAACTACCTGGATTGGCTTGGAATTGCTGTTTTGGACTGCAAACAGAGGGATTGTAAAGAGTCAGGAGGGAGGTGAGCTACAAGAATGATAAATGGGGAGCTRAACAAAGGAAAAGTGCTAAAGTAGGGTGATGGCAACATCTTATACTTTAAAAGTAGTAATTTTAAGGATATCGTTTCCARTTTTATTTCTTCCCACTTCTCTCTGTCAAAAAAGATTGTCATACAATATCTTCTGTGTGTGTTAAGTGATYAAGACTGAAATGTCAAGGGATAGAGGAGAACCCGAGACACAGTTTGATCATTACACATACAAGTAGATTGTTAAGATGACTAATTCTCAAAAAAAAAAAAAAAATCTCCACACATTTGTTGGTATGCTTATCTCTAGGATCCACTTAGGTAAATGCCCCCATGTCTGGTACATACATCCCACACTGCCCCATGTGAAATCTCTAAGAAATCTTTGTGATTTGTGAACATGAAGATTTCAAAGTCTTTGGATATTTAAACAGTGGTGGGCTTCTCAACTGTAATTAYGGAAGAGAGTGTGCTGCTTGAGCCAGGGTTCAGATCTTTAGCCTGCTTAATTTAGCATCAGCTTGAATGAGACTTTGCTAATTGACAGCAGCTGAGGATCCGGCCTTTTTAAAAAGAACATGGAGTAAAGGGAAATGATGGGCAGTGGCTTAGAATTCACAATATCCAGCTCCTGTGTGTTTTCAGTATGCAGTACTCATAAGCCTTCGCCTGATGAATATAGCCTGAAGTGATGCAGGCAACTTATTGTAATTTTTTGCTGTGCTCTGTTCAGATTTATTTCCTAGTCAGTCAGGTGGGACACCCTGTAGATTAAGACTTAGAACACATATTTTGAATCTGTAGACTAGTACTTGAGGTGAAATAAGAATTGCTGTATGTTTTAGAGCAGTAATGGCCTGAATTGCCAGAAATAACCATAATAACAAAGTGCTTGTTTCCTGAATCAGGCACATAGTGCAAACAGCCATAGTCTCAGTGCACCAATGCCCTCCCTGCATTATAATGAATATTACATGGATGGGAAATTGTCCAAGAAGAGTTTGTTCCCTTGACTGGTCTGATAGTCTTTTTAAAACTGTCTGCTGCTATGAAGAATTATAATTACATAGCTATTTAAAAGGGTCTTTAAAAGAGGGAAGTGGGTAGGTAATGTGTGAACATGGAGCTAGCGATAGCACTTAAGTAGGGCAAAAAGAGTACACACAGTGAAATTCTTGTTTTCTGGGAAGTCTTTAGTGACTCTCATAATTTTATTAGAACCATTATATAGAACTGAACTTCCAAGCTGAGAGTTCYTCTTTTGCTTGAATGTCTCATATGTTCTTCCAGCCTGTGTGTACCTTCTTGTAAGATGGTTATCTTGTCACTTTCTTCACTAGGACTTTTSTGAATGATCTTTTCAGATTAGCAGTGTGGTTGGGTTTGGAGAAGCATGTCAGCCTTTTGAAGAAACTTCACATCAGAGCTTTTTATTAAATTCTTTTTAGGTTTCTCACCTTATAAGAAATTTCTGACCCTTTCACTTTCCTTTCTTCCCAGGACCTTTTGAATTCCTGTCTTGTATCTTGTGCTTGCTGTGAAACCTCCCTCTCTGAACCATTAAAATATCTACGTAGTCTAAAAAGCAAAAGGATTGTAAAGGAATTAATAATATAAATGTGCAAGCATGCAGGGTTGCATCTCTGCCGTGGTGGTGATTATAATGCAGATATGTGAGGTCAGATGTACTCATYACTGCTTGGTAACTGCAATATTTCAAGCACTACCTGATGCTAGCAAAAGGGGAGCAGACCTACCTGTGTTCCCTAAACATGTATGGACTCGCTCAGAGTGCATTTTGGGATGTAGGGAGTTTGACTKTGCTGTTTTTTATTAGCTTGATAGAAAATTTTCTTGCTGCCTTGTGGTGGACTATGTTAACAAAGATGTTAACATATATCTGATTCCCTCTGCAGGTGTGAGTTCTTATTATGCAAAGGCACAGCACAGGCACTCATGACAAAAGTCACTGCTTGCATGGACTGCAACTATTGCGGCTSTCCCTGAGGGACTGAGGGACAGAGGAATGAAGCCTCTTGTCAGCCGTCCCGTCAGCTGCTGCTTATGATGAAATTGGTCTTTGGGGGATTTCATTCTGCGTGGCTGCCAATCCGGTATGTGTGACTGTCTGGGCACTGTGGCCGTGTCCTGTGTTGGAGGAGGAGGCCTTTTGTTCCATATCAGGCTTCACATAGTTTGGCATCTGTTGAGTTGTGCTGTCTGCTTGACCATTTGTTGAGCTTTCCTCTAATCGCCATCCCTAAGCAGTCTGTCCTTGTGTGACAGCTCTTGTTTTAAAAGGTAGAGGTACATGTGCACTGGRTGTGAGCTCCTGAGCCTCCTCTTGTAGGAGGAGTGAGGATATCTGCACCCATGACAGAGAGGCAAGCTACCGGGATTTGTTTCTGATTAACTGTTTGGTCACACTGGAGTTTCAAAGTGCAAGGGCATGCCAGTGCATAAAAGCAGAAGCCGTGTGTAATCCATCCTCCCACTGCTTCACAAGCAGCACAGCTGACGGGCCGAGGAGAGCGGCACCGATTAGATCCGCAG